CAGTCCAGCTAGCTTTACTACACACATATAAATGAGTACTCATGACTAAGAAATCTATGTGAGCCGGCTGTCAACACACACTAGATCCAATTTGCATCGGAATGACTATTAATTGCACACTGAACTTTGGCAAGAAGCAGTGACAACAAATCATCTGATCACCTACAATAAATCAGTTTAATTAAACTACGTATTTAACATTTAAATGAAACACTATTAACACACATCACGGCAAGTGAATAAATAAGGCAATTTGCAAGCCAGCAACAATAAAACTGGGCACAAATGTCAAATAAAATATCGAACACTTATTGATGGCCATGCCAGATAACTGGTGCGGCGAATTTTGTTTGACATTAGAAACTGTCACTTTTATGAAAGCCAAAGTGAATTTATGCCGCGGCCAAAACTCCGCTTAATCGGTTGGATTTGAATAAAAATCTGTTTCAAATGGCGGCTATTTGTAGCTCGATGCCAATAACATGATAAATGCTTGTACGTAATTTGTTACCTCATCGCCGTCGCCCCACAAGGGGCTGTCCAAAAATTGTATGCTAATTTAAACAAAACTAGATGTCGATATTGTTTAATTGACCAAAAGCCAAGCGCACGGCAGCATCCACGGCGAAGAAGACGACGGCGATTTTAATTAGCATATTATGAGAATCAACACAAATGCTTAGGTCGCTGGAAACAGGAGATCTGACTGGGCAGATAAGGCTGCAAATTTATGATGGGACAGCCAAAGCGATACGAAATGGCAATACCAACACACAATTAAATAGAAAAAGAGTGATGGCCAAGGAATCAAGTACAAAGAATTCGGAATGCTCTACAAAACTGAATAGAACTTTTAAAAGAACCTCAATTCCTTAAAAAATTAAATTTACTGAAAAATTTAAATTAAATTCAAGTCAATCAAATAAATATAAATTTCGATATTAATGTCTCACTCAAATAAAATTATTTGAAGAAATTATTGATTTAATTTAAAAAAATGTAATCCTTTTAATTAAGTGCAATCAACCTCAGAAGACTTAAAAACATTTGAAACTCTTTGTTATTTGGCATATATTCTAAATTGACTGTATGATCTTAAGCGTATCTTTCTCTGCTTAAGATATTTTCCACCGTAGGGTGTATATCCTTTAGATTCTATGCAAATCGCGTGGAATTCTATCTCAGCCTCGATCGCACTCCACATAAAAGGCTGATGAAAAATTTTAGCGAGGGCGGTGAGATTACCTCTTTGGTTTCGACTGTGGAGTATCAATAAATTACGTGAAGCAAGTCAATGAAATGCCATAAAAATGCGTGGCCCGGTGTCGTGTGTTGTCTGATTTGATCTCCGTTGTTTTTGGAATCGCGACCGAGGCACAGCAAATTGTTTTATCAAAATTATGAGGAAATGCTAATAAGGCAAATAAATTTGCCATCAAAATTAATAAACAACAGTTTGGAGTTGGGCAAAATGAATTTCAAATGCCTTCGCCGGTCGCACACTGATTAAATTTCACACTGAAATGGGCGAGAGTAAACACGACTTGTCCAAACAACTTCGTGTTAATTGGCGCCTTTGACTGGCACCGCCTTTTGCAGTTATCTATTCTACGCAAAAAAAAAAAAAAATTGTAAAATACAACAAAAGTTAAATACAATTAAATAGGAGACTGCCAGATTTTGCATTTCGTATTCAGCCCTAATTAAGACATCAAAATGGGGCTTTCTACCAAGACCCAATCCCGCAGTCATCGCCAAGTTGAGAAATCCGTCAAAACATCACGTTTTCTGTGTCCACGACTGCGCATAGACAATGCCCCCAGTTAACAGTAGTTTTCGGTTAATTAATTTCGAAATAAAAGTCGAAAGAGAAAAATCAAATTTTAAACACTACAAATCATGGTTTAATGTGCCCACAAAAGACCGACAGAGACAAGCGAAGTGGCAGCCACAGAAAAGCGGTTGTAATTAAGTTGTCAGGTTCCCAACATGAGTTTGAATAACTAAACTTGATTTTAGCTCCCCTGGAATACAGTTAGCATTAATGAGAATCATTGGTTAATGCTGTCGATCACATTAGGCCATATGTTTTTCTCATGATATCTGTTTATTTTTTTTTTTTTTGGTCTGGGTTCCATTACGGGGGGTAACCCCATTCATTTGATTCTACTTTTATTCCGAAATTGTTTGATTGGTGTACATTTCATATCAAGGCTTTTAGCAAATTTGTTTAAATCTCGTTGCGGCTCTCGGGCGAGACCCATCAACTGGCTCTCCAATCTGCCAATTAGCCAGCATCAGGCTCGGCAAACAAAGCTCCATGGGGCACTTAAGAGTCAACTTGCCGATCAGCTGGCATCATAATTAGCCAAATCTCGCGGTCGTAATGGATAGCGCCAAGTCGTCAACAAGCCTCGCATTTTTTTATTAGCCTTAGCCGCACAGGCACTTGTATTTGTCTTTGTATTTGTATTTGTATTTTTACCGGTACCGGATGGATAGCAGTCTTTGGAGTTCTGTGGCCATGCTCTTGCCATTTGTTTTTATTGCTTATCAGCAATTGATGCCTCCGCCCAACGTCCTCCATTCCGCCATTCCTCCATCAAAGCGTAACATTGTCGTCGTGGTCGCCGCTGTCATCAGCAACATGCTTGCTCCACGGCGCTTTGTGTTCGCATCGCAGCTGTGGAACGCGCGATGCGTCAGTTCGTTAGCTGTGAGCCCAAACAACAACAACAAGTTGGAGTCAGGGGCAGGGACACAGAACTACACAAAACAAAAATAAACAGCAATTTTAAATTTCTAAGAATTAAAAAAAAATTAAAATTTTATGGTTAAAAAGTCATGGATTATATTTCATAGGAATGAAACTATTGTTGTACCAATTCTTAACTATTGAGCATGTAGAATTTATCAATAAGTTGAGTATTTAATCAATACCACGAAAGTATCAAAGATAAACCTAAGTGGTTTAAAAATATGTCCATTTTTAGACTCTCCGGTATAAAATTGAAACTTAAAAGTATAGGGCTATATTAATTGGTGTTGTATTATTACTTATAATATTGATATGTATAAGCCTTGTACATGTATAAACTTAATTATGTGAGTCATTCGGAAACACTGGCAACATTCGAAAGATTTTATTTTTATATTTTAGATTTTATTGTTTATGACGCCAAGCTATCGTTAAGCTAAACATAATAAGTAGTTTCTCTGTTGATTTAAATTTTAGTTGGAAAAAAATCAGTTTGCTCATTTACACCATTTTGACCGAAATTATAATGCCATCTAGCTCATGCAGACAGATAAAATAGCTTTAGAAGTATTTTATTTTAAAGGATCTATGTTGAACCCAAATAATTTCTTTTATATATTTCGATTTTTAAAAACGTTTCTATGGCTTTCAGATTTTTTTTATCATCAAAAGCTGGATATGTTTCTTTCAGTGCACTAACACGGTGCTCAGCGCCAGAGCCCCAGCCATGTATGATTATGCCCGGAAGCACTAATTACCTTATTTACACTTTTATAACTTGGCAGCGGTGCGCATGCGCGGATCGCGGATCGGAGGAGAGATCGCTGGCAGAGATCACTCCGAACAGTTGTTTATGGCTTGAGGAAGCTTCTCCTCCTTGGGTCTCCTCTTAGCAGCCATCTAGCGGATGTGGCCCGTTGTATTAGACAAAAAAAAAAGAGTGAAAACTGGCTGGGTAATAACTTGGCAATTAAAGTACAACCGAAAAAGCGAAAATCGCATTCGCCATCGCCATCGCAACAGCAATCGCAAGTCCTGCAGTTGTGGAGCAAACAATCAATTGGCCTGCCACAGAGTCAGCCAAGTGGCTTGGTGGCCGCCTCCAGGCACAAGCCACTCACTCGATACCTCGACCCACTGATAAAGCCGTCTTTTTTGGGTGCAGCAAGTTGGCTGCAAGTCGCAGCTACCGATTGGCCGTGATTAAGCCATGAATCAGCTGGGTTAGCAGCGGTTTACCGGTTGGGCTAAGTTTGGGTTTGAGTTTGGCCAGCTAACTACGACTCTTTTAAGCCATTATTTCTCTATTTTTTTTCGGTGGGCGTGAGCCTTGCAGCTAGAGGCGGCTTTTGGGCCCAGAGATTGTCATGACAAGGAAAAATCAATTTTCCAGCAGGTTTTCCCCCGTATATGAGTGTGTTTCAATGAAATTCTCATTTGCCTCTGCCAATTGCAAAGCCCGGGCATAAAATGTTCATAAATTTGCAGCGAAAGCTGACAATGAAAATGATCATGTCCAATAAGGCACAGGTTTTGCAGAATCATAAAATGCGAAACCTATAAATTTTAGCAAAATTATAAGTACTCGAAACCTGGCCAGGCTTGTTTTTTTTTTAATTATAGTCTAAAATAGAAAAAGGATTTTTCATTGAAAATTTTTTAAATCGCAACATATTTTAACATACTTTCAAATATCGTTTTTTCTGGTTAATGGCAATATATGGCTAAATGAGTGAGTGCAATAAACTTTGCCAATCAAAAATGTTGTTAAACATTTAATTTGAAAAAATCAATTCACCAAAAGCTTTTGTTCATAAAAAAAGTAAGCACCTGTAAAAAATTTATATATTTACTTACTAACCTAAAATCGAATGCCCAAAAATCCAATATTACTTTCTACCCTTGAGCCCATTAAATGGAAGCCCAAATCAATCAACGTTTCGATGACCACTGTGAAATCCCAGCTGGCCTAAAAGACAGGTGCGCAATCGCAATCGCAGTCTTTGGTTTTCAGTGGCATTCCAGTGCGTCCGAAAAGCTGGATACAACTTGTTTGTCTGCGGTCTTTTCGGAGATTTTCAATTATTAGCAACGCCTAACGAACGCCAATTTTCCGTGCCGCTTTCGGTTTCGGTTTCTGTTTGCATAAAGCCATTTTTACCGCAGGGCACGGAAGTGCATGCGGTTTGCCTTTCGTGTGCAATTTGGGCCACAGCAGGCCGATCGAAAATCCGTTCTAAACTACATAAGAATACCTACGTTTATTGTTTGCTCTTTCGACAGGGTCAACAAGTTAATCACATTGTGTGGCATGGGTATAATAGAATTCTTATATTTTTTCCAGGCTGCTGTTCGCTTTTGGCCCGACTTTACGATCGCTGGGCACTGCGCACGCGTTTGGGCCTTAATAAGACAACGGAGTTCGAGAGCTGTCGGCACGGAAATTGACGTTTAGAACGATCGGGCGACCAACTCGGCCAGCTGTCTGGCCTTTTTCGGCCAAGCAGTAAGTACGTTTTAGCCTTTGGCGTTCAAATTGGCAAATTAAGTCATACGCCCGCCCGTCCACTGCACTCCGTTGCAATTTATCTTTTTGTGTTTCTTTTTTTTTGTTGTTTTTGGCTGCAACGTTGTTTTGCAATAATTATTGATTTATTGTCTTGTTCGCTGTCCCATTGGGCTGGCCGGGGCGAACTCAAAGCGCCGCCAAAAACCATTATCACATGCATGCGAAAACACGGAACAGTTCTCGTTCCCAGGTTCCCAGGCATGGGTTCGGGGTCTAGGTTGGCTCCAAATCATTAGCAAACGTGGCTAATGATGGACTGGCCTGCGACCTGGACTTGGTAATTGGAAAGGCACGCACATTAGGGCGTAGTCGATTTTTACGGCTAGAAAGTGAGGCAATTAACTGGTGTGGCGGGGCAGATATCGCTGGAAAATCACTGGAGCTGGAGCTGGTCGACCTTTCCCTTTGGCTACCAGGCGTGTTAGCCGTATTAATATTTCACGCCTTCCAATCGAGGCCTAAAGTAGTGCAGAATCTGGAGTTGAAAGGTGAATGAATGTCTGGCCGAAGGGGAGAAAACGGAACTAATGCTGGCCAATGGGAAAATGTAAGTTATGTGCTGTTTACCTACAAATTCCTCAATGCTTTCTAATCGACCAGCTTTTTTATTAATTTATTTATAAGCTCTCAGTTCTAGAGCAAAAACAGCACCCTAATGTACGCGATTTTATTACTCGACAGCCTAATGGCTTCATTCGATTATGCACACATAGCACTGTCATTATCCATGGTATATTCTCGATAATTTCCATTTTGCATATCCCTTGCCAAAGCCAGTTAAACTAGTTTTTCACCTGGACAGGGGTACATTTTTCATCTTGCCCACCGAAAAAAATAAATGAAATTGAAAAATATTTGTAACGCCTTATTATATAAAATGTGCTACACATTTGCTAGGCCATTCGATGGAAACAATTTCCATTTCCCGACTCCCATCCACTTTGCTCCACCCCACTCCACTCCACTCCATTCGATTCGATTCGATCCAACTCTCCTTGTTGCAGTTCACGTTTGTGGCATGAATAAACCCACTTATCTAATTGCGATTCCGGGAACTGGTTTTCCTTGATACATTTTTCTCAACTCATTAGAACTCAATCATAACTCGGGACTTGGACTTGCACTCGGATTCGGACCGACTCGTTTGCTTTTAGCCAGCCTTTGGCTTTGGCTTTGGCTTTGACTTCGGCCCCTCCATGCAATAGGCAAATGTAATCGTTGCTACATATTTCTCAGCCGACGCGCGCAATTGTTGCCGTGAGCAATTTTTTATAGCCAGCCAACGAGACAGCAACAACTAGTCAGGCAACGGCAACCAGAAAAATGAAAAAGAAAAAATCAACAACAAAAAAGAGCAAAACACGCCGGACGTGTTCCATAAACAACACTTTGATTACGACGACGCGGGCGCACAAACGCAAATCGATGTTTTCATATGGAAATTGAATCAAAGTCAAGTCCCGAGCTCAGAGTTTCCAGAATATGGAGCACGGCAGCAACTAGCAACATGTGTACTCGGTTCGGGCCTACAATTGAAGCTTTGCACAGGAAATAATTTCATTATAATATATTTATTAATAAAAAAGGAAAAATAAAAGAAAGTTTGACTAAAAACTCCGAGGATGAAAGTCCTTTTTTTTATGAATAATATTTTTTTGATAAAATGTACCTATAAAAATAGTGTTTTTAACTTGGCTCTGACAATCGAAGTTAATTTGCTTGCTGAACTTGAGTTCATGGTTGTATATTTATATCTATAGCACAACGTTTTTAATAAGATTTCATTTTTAACTGAACCAGACTATTACTACGTTTATACGCTCGGTTCAATTGCAAATAAAAAGTTATCAATACAACAGTTTTTAAAAAGTTTAATCTCAATAATAGCTTTTGCATTTTGTTAAGTTTGTTCAGTTCCGAATTGATACTATTGATACCTTTTTCTTAGCAAATGAACTTTTGGGTATTATATCATTTAAATATTTGAACCAGCCAATGCTAATGAAGCAAATGAAATTTAATTTTTAAAAATCTGTCAATAATGTAAAAACTAGAAAATGAAAGGCAACAAGAAATAACACTTTGTTCAATGGTTTTTTTGAAAAAAACAAATACATTATTTAGATGTGATTCCATATAAAACTTTGTTCAACAAATATTAAAAGAAAAAATTAGTTCATTTTTCCTGTGTAACCATGGATCCGTTGGAGCTTGGAGCTTGGAGCTCGGAGCTCTGAGCCAGCCCAATTGGCCTTGATGTGAGCCGAGAGTCGAGCGTCGAGAGCCGAGAGTGGGACCATGGCGTCAGCGCTTTTGTGGCCGGCTTTTGCCAGTAGCCGAGCATTTGGGCGAGCAGGGACAGAAAGGGGGATTTGGGGGGGCAGATCAAGCCGCTGGGTTGGTCTTTTGTGGTTTTAGCTATGATTATTAATCAATTCTTTCATATCACTTCGCCTGAATTGAATTCTTTTTACGAATCGTTTAAAAGTATGTGAATACAAAGGTAGCTGCTGCTGCTGTCTGCCAGCCTTTTTACTCTAATTAATTCAACAAAAGTTTCTGGGCCGCCTTTTGTCCGGAGTTTTCCGCTTACTGTCCGTGCTGCTGGTGCTGTGAAAGGTAGCATTCATTATTCGGATGTTTATGTTTATTAAATTCCATTTAATTACTCCAGTCTACATACGCAGGCATTGTAACGAGCATTAAATGCAAAAAAAAAAAAAAATAGGAAATCATAATAACAATTGTTTATTAATGGAAAATGGCATTGTCGATTGGCATCTGAAAAGGGCAATCGATTGGAGTGGATGTGACCTTAATATGTATGATTGCCTATAGCCAAAGTGAAGGGTTTTAGGATTGGTTAGCCAATATCTTTCAGCTAAAATCAAAGTAAATTAGCGCAGACTTAATTGCTTACAAGCTGTCTTATTTCTATGCAAATAGATTTCCTCCCCTGAGATGTAGTGTAATTTCCTCGGCAGGAAACACTTCCCATGTTCCACCGCCAAAGTCCCCGAACTGTCAGCCACAGGTGTCGAAATTGACAGATGAGCAAAGCGCAGGACAGTAACCGGAACTGGCGGACACCGATTGCAAAGGGGCGTGGCTCGCTGGTTCCATAAAAGAATCACCCTAGTCCGGCCAGACCGATCCAATCCGATCCGATACTGAAACCCAATCCAACGCTGCGGAGTCTGCGCGACTTCAATTTAAATTTTAATCGCATGCCTAATAGACAAACCTGGGGTAAATGTCAGAATAAAGAGACTAAGAGCCGACTTAAATCATGCCAACATTTACAAAGTACTTTACAGCAGCCCCAGCTCCAATCCCCACTCGTATGAGCGTCTGCGAGTCACGGACACGTCGTCAGATATAGCCAGGTATATGGTATGGCTTGGTATGGTTTGGCATGGTATGGTATGGTATGCTGCAGATGGGCTAAGACAAACTTCCGATCACGTTGTAAGTCAGCAGCAAAATTGCACACAGAAAGAAAAGTTTTTACCTTTGATATGACGATCAGTTTGGTAGGTTCTTAAATATGTAATTTAATTTTGAAAGTTTTTAATGTAAGTAGCAAGTGGGTAGATTTTAACATCTTTATGGGATATATAATAATAAAAACAAAACTTAGACGCTGTTAACGCTGTGTTACATCAAAAATGTACATTAATAAATAAGTTTTAAATGTTTCAATATGTCAGCGGTTGTAGGAAATGTAAACAATTGATATTTCTTATCATTTTGGAACCTCAGTAACACGTGAATGGAGTTTTGTTCTTAAAGACTTTTAAATTCGGTCTTAAAATGTTGCCTTTCCAACTATTTTGAAATGTTATGCAAAACTTCTACTACTTCAAGTAAAATTTAAAAAATATTTTTTCCAGTGCAGCAGATAGGGACCGAGCCCTGGCAAAAGGGCTTCCAAAGAGGCAGAGAGAGAGAAAAAGTTAATGGAGGCAAATGCATCAAAATGGTTAATTGGATCTGGAACAGCAAATGACGAACACTTTTAGTGTTTATGGCAGTAGCCTGGGCCCAAGTGCAGATCCAGGCCCAAGTCGAGGTCCAGAGACTTTTGCCAAGGAGATGGCGGCAGATAGGCAAGTGTGTACGTGGATTCGATGGTGCTGATGGGAGCTGCGGGAAATCTGAGGGGCAACGGCAATGGCAAAGGCAAAGGCGAAGGCAAAGGTATGGGCTGGGCTGGACTGGACTGGACTGGGCATCTAGGAGATGCGGCAAACAGCTCAAGTGGCAAGCGTGTTGTACACGACACGCATTAGCGTGAATGGAGCAGTTCTGGTACTTGCCTTTGCCATTTTTTAATCGAATCGAATGCGTTGAGAGCCGGGCCTCAAACTGAAACTGCGGCTTAGATGGCCAGACAAATGTGCGGCAAAATTAATGGCGAGCTCTGCAGTAATTTCCATTAAAGTGGGCACAGCTCCGAAAATGCACTTGTTGCTGCTGGCCAAGCACCCAGTAAGGCAAACGTAGGAAAACTTCCGTGTTCCTTACCAGACAGCCGGTGGATCGGCGAAATGGTAATGGGCCAATATGATGGCCTCCATGAGCTGCCTAATGGGCCGCTCTGTGCAGGTTTTTACTGTGGCATTATGGGCCCGCCTCGCCATGTGTGGATTTGGATCTGGTCGATCCAAATCTAAAACGACTAGTTCAAGTTATTTTCTGTAAAAAAAAATAAACTAAAGAAAGCCATATCAAATAGGTACTTAAAACGCTCAAGAAAAAGTTATACATTCTTTCTTCTATTTAAATCACCCCTAGCAACGGGTTTTGTTTTATTGAGATATTGATTTAATACTTACTATCCATAACTTCTCTCAGTTGGAGAGAAAAACCCAAGCCTTCAACATGGATATGGATTGTAAGGAGCAAGCAATTTATTACTGGAATGTATTAAGCAATAAACAATTTCTTTAGTAAACAACGACTTAGAGAAACGCATTTCGGATGCCTTCTGTGTGTTCGATCATCATGGCGAAAAGTTCATAGATGTGCGAGAAGTGGGCACTGTTCTGAGACTTCTGGGCTGTGTGCCCACCGAGGAGGAGGTGAACGAAGTCATCTCGGCCACAGAATCGGAGGAGACCACTGGCGAAGTGCACTTGACCAAATTTTTGCCTCACGTCTCGCAATTGCTTATGGAGCGAAAGTGAGTAAAATCTCATCTTTTATTTACATTTTCACTTTAACCAAAATAAAATGCATTTGTCAGAATGGAGCCAGCTCCGCCGGAGAAAATTCTGCAGGCTTTTAAGATTTTGGATCCGGAAAACAAGGGTTATCTGACCAAGGAGAGCTTTGGAAAACTAATGATGGAGGAGGGAGAGCCGTTTACACAGGAGGAAATGGATGAAATGTGGCCAGTGGCCATAGATCCAATCAGCGGACACATACCCTATGAGTTCTACTTGAATCAACTTATGGTAAAAAACCTTTTACACTTTTAACCAGCTTAAATCTTATATGGTGTTTAATTTACTTTTCAGGTGTATTTGTAAAGGTAAAAGTGGAGTCCTGAAATTATTCCCTGGTGTTTCTTTGTTCTTATTAAGTTACAAAATATCAAAAATATGTATGTAGCAGCTTATTAAAGTCCCTAAAATACCCTCGTCAATGGAACCCTGTTATGGGTGTAAAAGTGCAAGTGCAGTTCAAAAAAGTCCCCTAAAAATATCCTCGTTAACGGCGTGTTTTTCGCACTCTCTACATTTGCTATTCTGACTATTTTACTAAGCAAATCTCTTTCGCAGCGACTGCCGTGGCCACTTTCCACTTTCCACTCCCTTTCTCGGCCACTTACATTAAGCATCTCCAACACAAACGAGGCGGATCTAACCAAGCGAACTGGCCAAATGCGTTCCAAAGTAGCCGGCTGAGTCCCCGGCACACAGGACACTGGCTTTTGGCTTCGCCTTTGGTTTTGGTTTTAGCCAGCAACTGGAGTTCTACTTGGGGCGGAACGCGGCAAAGTGGGTTGCGCATCATTAGCACAACTAATGGATGTTCACTTTTCTTACCTGGCAGAGAGTCGTGTGCTCCTCCGTGGCTCCATGCCTCCCTGCCTCCCTGCCTCCCTGCCTCCCTGCCTCCTTGCCTCCTTGCCACTGCACTCGGACTCCAAATTGCAGTTGGTTATGTGGCGGGAGAGGCCAGAAATTTAAATAAATTAAAATACCTCTCGAAGTGCATTTGCTGGGAGGATCAGAGGAGGCAGTCGTCGTGTTCGGAGTCATGTTCTCGCTTCCGTATTTATTAAATTCTAAATACGCGCTGATGGATGCACTTAACTGCATCTTATGGATTAAAATATTTCATGTTATTCCCCTCCCTTCATTCAGCCATTCCGACATTCAGTAATTCTGCCATTCTGCCATCTGCACGTTCTGGCGCTTTGGCCAATTTGAGTGATTGCATTGCGCGCATTTAAATGGATGCTGGGATGGCCCAAACAAGTTATACGTGCGGCTTCCACAGTGACTTCCATTGCGGCCAGCCTAATGGACTTTTAATCTATACAACTTGTAAAAATTTCGTTTTTGAATTGCGCCGACCATGAGCAGCGAACCTGATTGTCAGAGAGCCATAAATGATGCTAACTGCATACTGCTAACTGCTAACTGCTGAGTGCAGATATTAGATTCGTTTTCATGTCATCCGATGACCCCATCACACTCAGACAATAAATTTTGTTTTCGGCTGCAGTCATATAACCAGATTTAAGGAGTCCCGGAATTAGATTTAAAAACAAGGCTAAGAATGGCGGAAAATCTGACAGTAGTCAGTCAGTCTGGAAGCGGGGGTCATAAAAACCGAAAAAAAAACGCAAAAGTGCCGAGCAAATTGTCAAAGTTCGACGGAGCCTTCTCGCATGAATCAATTCGGCCTGCCTTTATGAGCCCAAAATTCTGGATCTGGAAGCGAATATCTGGCGACTGATGATGATTTACGCTCGACGAAGCGTAATTAAGATTTATCCTGCACACTCGCTTGCAAAATATATACATATATATACATATGTACATGCGAAACCACAACAATATGCACATATAGTTGCGTATTTGAGTTTATGAGTACCAGCGGCTTAATTGTTAGTTATGCGCTTTTGTTTGTGCGACATTAAAACTAATTAAGTAGAAAGAGTTTCTATAAGATTTATATGCATCAACGATTGCCTGTTGTTACAAGTGTGCATGAAGTGGGAGTGTGTGGTGCAAATTAAAGCAATTAGTTGCATTTTATGACAATGGCCAGAAAGTACAGGGCCCATCCCCCAAAGGCAATTTGCGAAGGAATAAAATATGTATTTACGACCCCCAGGGGGCTTCCTAATGAGTGGGTGGTAGTGGGTGGTGGCAGGGATCAAGTATTTGTGCACCTTGATTGATACCAGCCAGAGGTTGTTTTCACAATTGAGATATTATGAATTAATTATGACGCAAATGTATTGCCTCCCTAATTGCTTGCTAAGGCTTTGTTTTCTTATATTGATTAGCTAAAAAAAATCTTTCTCATTTCACTTTCATTCTACAAATTTCTTATATTTTACAATTGATTATGAAGGTGACTTACATTTGACAGAGAAAACTAGCAAAAGGTTAAGGAGGGTTAATCAGTTAAAAAAATTTTTTTTTTTTGATTTAAATGTTTAGCAACCTTTTTTATGTATTTTGACACTAGGAGTTTAAGAAGAGTTTATGAATGGGTAACATTTGTATATATAAAAATCGTTTAACCTTTTTTATTTATTGCAATGTTCTAGTTTAATTTTTTATATATTTTTTTATACCAAATTCCTGACCAAATCAAAAAATATTACTTTTTTGAGAACCATTAAGATTTAGTTATTGCTTTTCCTTACATCGGTTTAATAGTTTTCGTTTCTTGCTTGCATATTTCTGCATTTAATTGAGCCAAACTTATTCTTCTCGCTTCTTCTGATTTTCACGGGCCTCACTTCCTCTGCAGTTTTCATTTTCCAGCTGCACCGGCTGTAACTTTCAATCAACTTTCTGTTTGCCTACGCCGCAGTGGCAGCCACTTGTTTTGAGGCCTGCCTTGAATTAATGGCAAGCCTCGCTTTCGTTACTGTTGCCCCAGAGAACTTGCAACTGAACTTGGAATCGGAATCGGAATCAGAATCTGGGTTTAGTGCACTCGCATTCCCCCACAGTCTGCGCAGGTAGGCTCTTGTAATTTTGATTTCGAGTGCTCGCTCCTGTCCGCCGTTAATTGAATTTGAGCAATAAAATATAATTTGGATTTTTGCATGTTTCCCGGGCGCGTAGCACGCCGAAAAGCGAAAACCCAAATGGAAAGTCCAAGTCGGAGGAACAGAACGCTGGGTAAGGACTGAAATTGCAAAAGGTGAACAACATGCAATTGATGGCCGAGGCAAGGAAAGAAAATGAAAGAGGAAAAAAAGCGTGGCCAGTGGCATGCAGTCTTTATTGTTGCAGCAGCCGTCGACATCGTCATCATCCGACGTCGTCGCTGCCATGTACAACACCCAAAGGTATCAGCAGACAAAATGCTAAAAATGTATTTACCACAAAGGCAACGCGGCTCAGTCCAGTTTGCCTCATTGCTGCTGCTTCTGATGTTGCTGTTGTCGTTGATGTTGCTGTTGTCGTTGCTGTTGCTGTTGCCGTTGCCGCTGCTGTTGCTGTTGCTGCTGGTGCTGCGGCTGCGGCTGCCCTTAATGGATCTGCAGCACTTTGAGTGATTTATTTCACACGTTGATGAAATGGACAGCAATGGGCCGCATTTTGACGTTTATTGCAGCAGTGGCAAGGGCAGCAGCAGCAACAGCAGCAACAACAGCAACAACCGCAAGAACAGCAACAACAACCAACAGCGACCAATGCCCACGGCATGTGTTCTGCGCATGCGCGCAGCCCTTTAACAACGGCAACTGAAGCGCAGACGGCGGCCACATTGGAGCCAGGTTATTAAAGGAAGCTATTGAGGCTCTCTTTCAATGCACTTTCAGTTGCCCTGAAGAAACTATTGAAAGTCGTTTCAAATAATAAGTACTGCCTTTGGTTTTATATATATTTAATTATTTCAATTGGAATTTGCACACAATATAACGTAAATACTTAACAATTGAGTTATATTTTTAACGTCTCCAGTGTATTACTTTCCTATGAGTGAGTTTATAAAAAATTGTTCTACTTAACTTTTTAAATTTAACTTGTTTTATAGTCATAGTTTCTTTTCTGACGCTTTAATCTACTGATCATTAAAGCTCTCAACCATTTTTGAAATATTAAGTCGTATAATTTCTATTGACTTTAATTATCTTAAGTAATATTATGAAAATACTTAATAACTTAAACATATATTTTTCAACGTGTCAAGTGTATAACTTTTTTATGATTTAGATTTTGAAATATTTTAGACTTTAGAGCCTAAAAAGTTTGGGTTTTTTCTATGGCTTCTAAGATATTTTATTCAGTTTTATACCAAGTAAAATTGAACTCTTGAAAAAAGTATTTACTTTACCTTTTCTGCAGAGCATTTGGCAGTCGCCCATAATTTCAGTTCTTATATCGTTTTGCTTTTTTAATATTTTCCCTTTTTCCTGTATTTTTTTTGTTTATTTTTTTTTTTGCTTTTGCAATTGCATTGGGAGCCTTGCACGTCTTTTGGTAATAGCCCCGCAGACCGTGCGCGCTTTAATGAGGCGCGCTCCTCATTTGGACGCCACGCATTTCGTAGTTTTGTACCCGTTTACCAAGCAACGGATGTTGGGCTCTCTGCTATTAAAACATTTAATTGCAACTTAATAAGTTGAAGGCCTGCCAGGTGGAGCACTTCTCACGAACGCAACGTTGCCAAATGCCAGCAGTGACCCCATGTCGCATTGAAAGTAAAGGGGGCAACGGGGTCACAATTTTCGCAGTGCGACCCACTCACGGAAAAGCCATCGAGTCGAGCATTGACAAATCCACCCTCAAGAAAAGTCAATTTAACACATTCACTACGCCTCTTAAAATGTTGATATTTTAATTAGTAACGCTCTAAAGGATTTTCCACAGCCAAGTCAAGGTTTCACCCACTCCCAAATCGAAAATCGAGCCCAACTTGGGACTTGGCCGGGTCCAAAGCCTGGATCTTCAGCTAACCCAAAGACGACGAGGCCAGGCAGCTGGAGAAAAATAAAGTGCCAAAGGGCACACATGGCACCGAGTGGCTTGGCTTTTGTGGCTTTTGTTTTTAGCCATAAACAGGCTGTTGGAATGAGTTACCACCTTCACTGGTGGAGATTGAAGGGGTTACTTTGGGAATCTAAAAACACACTCGGATGTTGTATTCAAATTTCATTGAAATATGATATATATTCTTTACCGATGCAAATTTGAGAGGACATTACAAAAGTCTCCATATTAAAATATACATAATTGCTTAAAATTAAATTATTTTATTAAAACTTTTCTTGTGTTTATTTATATTTGAATTTTTAATTTTCTTACTCAACCTACAAGTGTGTGACTGTCAAATAATTTAGGTAAATATTTAATAATCCCATTTTTTACATATATTAATTTGAAAACTAATTCCCCTTTCGCTTGTCCCTCAAAAGACGCCCATGG